GCAGTGTACACTTAATAACAGCATATTTGACACAACCATTGAGAGTAAAACTTTTTTTTTTTATTATTTTCTTTTTCTCCCTTTCCTAGCCTATTAGGCTGCACGAGGTTTTTCCCGTTAAGAATTATACCGAGATAAAAGTGACACCGGGCACAGGGAATCGAGCTCTAATGTAATTATTTGTTTATCTCAAAACTTGATTATCAGGTTTTCAGTGCACTCGCCATAGCCCGCTCGGCCACCCCACTCCTGAGTAAAACCGTTCTATAATATACACTTAAGGTTAAGCAATTCAGGTGTGGCATTAAGAATTCGAAAGATTCCATGTCCAAACAGAGGTGTCCAGAAAGGTGTTTCATGGCACAAGAAACGGATGTTTACGGGATTTTGAATTTTTAAGGGAAGGGACATTTTGTAGGGGTTATGAATTCTCGGAGAAAACTATACTTTTTTTTATCTCCAGTTATAGAAGGAACTCTCAACCAAGGAATAATTTTTCTAATTATACTATCGCTAGCTTTGTTTTTAAGAAGAGGAGAGCAATCGAACTTCTTGATCTAGGGCATGTGCCCTTGGATGAATGGACAACTCTGATCCGAGCATGGGATATCCGAGTATGGAACAGAAGAGAAGGACCTTAACGAATGCCTTTTTTCACGTTAAAATCATAAGCAACATATGTTGGTTGCAATAAGAATTTTCAAATTATATTCAGTTATTATTTAATAATCGAAATAAGCATTTATCCCCCTTATTTACTATACTGATCGAGAACTGACAGATGCAAGTAGTACTATCTATAAGACAGGGATTGTATAGATTGAAGTTATTTAGGTTTCAGAAAGGAGCTGTTTTGTTTAGAAAGATTTTGCTTGGAGGTTATAACTCGAAAACACGCGTAGCAAAGCAGAACGTCCGCTGATAAGCAGATGAGGCAATAAAAAGCGAAGTGTAGTAAAAGGGCAATTAAGGACGAGGGAGCAATCAGCCTAGGCACGTGACGTGGCTACTAACTAGCTTGACCTCATCCAGGGGGCGCTTTTTGTCAAGCTTCAATATTTATTAACTAACAGTAAACTTTTCTTGAAGAAAGAAAAAAATATTCCTAATAACACTGGCGGGACAGTTAGCAACATACGGCAGCCACTGCAAAAAGTCAACAAAACTATTCTCCAAACAACCTGCCCGTGTTGACTCCAGATACATTTTCCATACCCGACATGGGCTCCTACACTTCTTCGTACATTCCTCTCCTTTCATTTTCTTCTTTTTTATTTTTTTCGAACTTTCTAAGCTCTTCCGCTAGGACTCAGTGATCTGCAGTAGACACGAAAGAAAATAATGAACCGTATGTTCACTGACATGAATGGTATGTTGGATCGTTTCATTCATAGGAACACACTAAAGTTTTATTCATATTTAACTTTCAAATCAAATAGCCGTTAACTTTTTTTTTTTAACTCGTTACAAATACGAACAAAAACAGGGTTGCTTAGTTTTTGTTTCGGAGGATCATCATACAGACAAGGAACGCCATTTTGAATACTACGTGCATATACTGATAAATATACTGATAAATTCTCCACTTACAAGGAGATTTAATCAATTTCATTGAAACGTTTTTTGTGATATTATGTCAACAATTTTAACATTTATTTATATTACTGTTTTCTGTCTTTACTATGTATGCATTTACTTATAGTTATAAATCAATTCGTATAATCTATATATATATATATATATATAAAAATGAATGTATGTCAGTCTGTCCGTCTGTTTGTCCTTAGTGCATTACTAAACCATTCAAGCGATCGCCATGAAACTTTGGGAAGTTGTTCCGTGCACTCCTGGGAAGGTTTCTGTCATATTAATTCTGTCTTACGATAATTTTATATATGTAAAAAGAATAAAAAGTTTTTCTGTTCAAAGCCGCAAAAAATGTGTCGCTAACCGTAAATACATAAATACAGTAAATACAAAACTGTAGCGCCAAAACGGCTTTACCGATTTTAACGAAACTTGGATAAAGTCTTACCCTTGAAACCCTTTTAATTGATGTGTATAACATGCTTTCCCGAAAACAAGCTGAAAAATGTTACGATGAATTCAATATTTTATTTGAGGATAACTAAAAAAGTACAAAATTTTTGACCGATAATATCCACATTTATTTGAAAGATTTCTGAATTTCTGACAAAATAAAAAAAAAAATCATCGAAATCGGACGGTTCGTTGCAGAGTTATTGAGTTTTAAACATTTACTGCTTTCTCTTCAGAAAAGGCCGTTTCCTCTTGCTTCCTTACTACCGAACGTCGACAAGCATTTTATTTTTATTTATTTTATTTTTTATTGAATAATCGAATATTGTATAATTACTACAGTAATTGAAATTATCATTTGAAGAATTTATATGATTCTCCTTATGTAGGTCAATACTATTATACGTTTTTTAAATTAATTTTTTAATTTAGTTTTATAAGTTCAACTCAGACTGTTTCTGATGATTATGAATGACGGCGGATTCACTCAGATGATTATGAATGTTCAATTTGAATCATGAGAAAAAAATCATTAGAATTAGTTTAAATTGAAGCCATTTTACAGACTAATTTGTTTCCCAACTTTTTTAAAATGACAGATGTCCTTTGCAACTAATCTACTCATATGAGCTTTCTATTTTCTTTCTTTTCCATTTTGCCATGGAATTTTGCGCGTGGCCGGGTAGAGCTAGTATAAAATAAAAAAAGGATACTGGATCATTCCTCTTTTTGGATTCAATCAGGACATCTAATTTAACTCTAGTACCGGCCCAGTATCGTAAAAAACATTGAAAACGTTATTTCAGACATGTAGTCTCGCAGCGGATCCAGTTTTTAATTTTGAAGGAGAGGGTGGTTGAAAAATAATTACTTGAAGAAAATAGAAAGATACTAACTAACTATGAAATGGTATTCTTGATGTCCTATTAAAAATGTAATTACACGAAGAATAATTCTTTCAGAGATAATTTTTTAAAATATTTTTCTCATAAACCATGTTCATATTTCGAAGTGTATAAGTATTATAATTTAAAAAATAGAACATTGTGATTGTTTAAGAATTAAGCTGATACCATTCATAGCAACAAATATGAACCAATGAAAAAAAAACAACAAAAAAATCGAGGCTTCATCCCGAAATCCCTCTCTATTGATCTGTCAGTGATATAGTCATAGCTAAGTAGAATATTGAAGCCAATCGAAAAACAATTTTTTTTTCTCTTAAAATTTAGCCTACCAGCGTATCAACTATCGATTTATATGCAATATGCTAGAAAACCAAATATCTTTTTTTTTTTTAATTATATTAAAAGTTTTTCTTGCATCCTTGGTTACTGGAAGTTTCGCTTGGTTTTTGTAATTCATACAGTTATAGTATAACTGTTATACACAGAAGTTAATTTGTTCAATACTATCTGCAATACGTTTTCTTATTTTACAAAAAAAAAAAAAAAAAAAGATCGATATATATCAATGACGGACATCGTAGAGAAAAAAAGTAGAGAAAAATTCAATTTTGTGTTTTATAGGTTTAACTCAAACTGATTTATTTATGAATATTCAAGTTGTATCATGAAAACAAATAATGAGATTTCGTTTAAATTGAAGCTTATTTTAATGAAAATCGGCCTTTTCTCAACTTTTTAAAAATGATAGATAAACAAGTATAGATATTCAGATATTCACTTTGAGAATTAAATAGATCCGTTATTTATCTTCACAATTAATCTCCACTTTGATTAAATTATAAAAATTTTGAATCTTCCAACACATAGATATCCAAAAATATTAGCACTACAGATAATTAAAAAAGAAATCGCATGGTTTAGGAACTTACTTAATCTGATAGATCTGCATGGATTAAATTTCAACTTAAATCGATCTAACTGTGACGACGTTAAACTATGGCGAGCTAATTTATATTTACTGCGAACTCAAATTCCGAAACTCAGAATTCTAAAACTTTTACATTTTATTCTCATTTAACTTCAGTAAATTATAATGATGACATAAGCTCATCGAAGGTGATCAGATGGGTAATAAAAATTAGAGCTGATGTTTTGAACGTAAATTATAAACATTTCCAGCGAACAAATAATAATTGTAGCATATGTAATACAAACGAAACAGAAGATCTCTATCACTTCCTGGCTGCTTGTCCGATACTCTATGAATTTAGAATTAAATGGTTAAAATCTAGAAATTTATCTCGGGATCAAGTAACAGATTAATTAAATGGAAACGATTGGATAGCATTGTTAAATTACTGCAAGACTGCTTTCTCCTATAGAATAATGCCCACCAGAGAATTCAACAATTAACAAATTGAAGAATTTTGGTATCACTCTTTCTGTAATTAAAATATTTATATAACTTTTACATTGTAAATATAACTGTCCATATTTTCTGATTAATTATTTGGATATAAATAGATTGAAATATAATTTTGTTATAAAACAGAGACTCCTCTGACGGTCAACAGACCATGTAGCATGTCTGATTTTCGGTTTTAAATTCAAAAATATTATTTTGTATTGCTTTTTTTAATTTATATTATTTAATTTTGATAAATAAAAAGACTTTTTCTTCTTCTTCTACACGTCTTGGACATAAGGCCACTCATATTATAACCTAAAAAATCTTGCAAAGGAAAGGTAGAAAACCAATATAAAAAATAAAATTAACAAATAACAATAATATAAAAAAAAATGTCAACGTTTTATTTTATTTTTTTCTTGCCACGTAGGGCGCATTGTTAAGAACACTCTGACACGTGTCCAATATTTTTCGACCTAGTATTGCCAAAAATGTTTCATTGAAATCGATGACCCCACGTCCGTAACATCTCCTCGTCAGTGTCATGGTAACACCAATGACGTGTGCACAATAGCCCTCGGTGGCAGGAAGAGGAAAGGGATCCTCCCATCCCAAGAGATCACAGGACGAAATCACCACCACCTTCACTCCCTCCTCACTCCCCGTCCTTGTGGGAGGGCCCAGCCTACTTTTCCTCCTAATTGAGAGAAAATGTGTTTATACAGCTCCGAGCCCCTCGAGGACAGGACAGGGGGGGGGGGGCTACGTGCCCGGCCCGCTCCCCGTGTACACATCCAACGGGGGGAGACTTTTTGTTTTCCTACCTGCCTTTTTACGGGTTGGTGCAATGTTCTAGATCCAGATTCGGCAAGGTGTGCCGAAGTTAAACTGAGTATCATCCTGTGGAAGGACGATACTTTCCTGACCTAAACAGCCACTTGCGAACGCTTTAAAACCTTTTGAGGTGGGATAGCTTATTATTGAATAAATAAGATAATCGAAAGTGAGAATACTTAAATTTTATTTGTAAACTATTTTTGTATAAGAAATGTTACAGTTTAACTTTTTATAACAGTTGAATTTCATTCTCCTTTAAATAAAAAAATAAAGCTCATTCACAAAAAACATACATCGCCTAAGTATTAGCCTTTAATAATTATAAATTAAAATAATAATTACGTGATATTAATGTCTTTAAAATGTACATTGCAAAAAAATGGAAATTATAAACAATGAAATTATAACACACTAATTAAGAGACCTTACAAAAAACAAGAAGAAAAAAAAGTGATACTTATTAAATACTTCTAATGAAAAAAATTAATAAATCAGCCAAAATATTAAACTAGACTTATTCATCCCAAATCATTACTATAAACAATTACCGTTTCCGAAAACTTTATTATAGATCAAATATAACAGGATTAAAGATTGCAATTAAGGTCAACCTCACACATGTATTTACAAGTAGAAAAAACCTATTTAAGATTTGGCGTTAATTTTTAATTACTTATTTATTATATTCTAGACTGGCTCATAGTACCAGTGACGTGGTTGTGAGAGAAGTGCATGGATTTGATGTAGTCTTGTTTGTTTGTTTGTTTGTTTCGATGTCTAGGCGCAAAACAACCAGGTCATAAGCGCCCGATCAACTAGATAACACCACTTATTACTGTTTGGATGGTTGGTTTGGATGTAGTCTTACTTTTCCCTTCACAGGTGGAGGGACATGATTCGCAGTTTTCTTGGCTCATTATAAATATCATGTCTGTGTTATTTTAATTTACTTATTTTTAAGTTTATTTTATTTTTATTTGTTTTATATAAATTATGTCTAATATAATTATTATATATAATGCTAATAATAATAATAATTAATTTCTTTGCTTTTATTTTATTTTTTTTATTTATTTTGTCTGGTAAAATGGTTTTGATGAATTCTTTACTCATTACAACTACTATCCTTATTTTGAAATAATATTATACAAATTTTTTCGCAGGATTTGGCAGTTTTCAACCCAGAGTTAAATTGTCACATCTGCGAAGTTGACCATCAATATAAAATCATGTATAATCGTGAATTTGATTTGTTATATATTGAATAGAAAAATCCAAATAACAAAGTCAAAATCCAAACATACAGGTGAAGAGTTTATCTGCCAACGTTTCGCCAATTCAGACATCATCAGTGCAGAAAAACCAAGATCACTTATATGCAGAAAGAAAAAACAATAAAGAAAATAAAAAAATATTTTTGCTGCAGACATTTCACGAAGCTATCTAATCACATACTGAAGGAAAGAGAAGAATCTATTAAACAGCTTACATTCAAAGCACAATTACATACACAACAGGCGATTAGCAGGAATGCAAGGAAGAAAATAATTAATTTAACACGTTATGTATTATTAGTTATGAATAATATTTTTTTTATTTCCTAGCATTCCTGCTAATCAGCTGTTCAACATAACCTTCCTTAGTTGTGTTAATATAATAGAACCTTCTCTTTCCTTTCGTATGTGTTTGGAGGGCTTAATAAGTAGTTCCTATTTATTATGTAAGGAAGGAATTAATATTTTTTCCTTGGTCGATTAAAATAATAGACAAAAATATTTGTAAAAATTGTTTTGCTAAGACCTATTTTAAAGGTATTTATTAGGAAAGATAATAAAAGTAAAAAGTAATAAAATACCAAAATAATGCCCGATCATGGGATTTTCTAAATTATTAAAAAAAAATAAAATGTAAGAACAACCAAATGCCTTTAAGAAATAATAAAGTTAATATATCAGCCAGGAAAAAAAATGTAGTAGACTATTCTACTCCTAAATGTAATATCTTTAAAGAGGAAGACATTATTATCAAGTATACCAAAACTAATGGGCAGTATCTTTGTTAATAATTGTCCGATTTTTACGTTAATACAAATTGTTTAAATTATACATATTTCTAATCGATTTTTTTGTCTTTTGTTTTGTAGATAGTTTAGTAATCTTTCTAATTATCATGGGTACGATCGAGTAAAAAATGCATAATTGAGTTTTTTGCCAATAAAGTTTCTTTTCCTTTATAACTTTTTTCCCAGAAATTTCGGGATAATGAAACTATTTTTCGCATGTGAAGGAGAAGAATATATTCAAAATTAGTGGTCAATCATTGGATTTGATAAAGAATTGACGAAGTTATGGCGTACCGACAAAAAAAAACACCTTTTAGAAATAATATATCGGATTAAAAATCAAGTTTTAAAAATTAATTTTAGAAAATATTATTACAATTATCTATTCTCCCGATCCTTTGATCACTGACTTTGATCTCAGTATCCTGGAATGTGTAAAAGCATTTAGTTAAGGATTGGTAGGTAGATAGGTAGATACAGTGTTGATAGATGACCAGGCTATCAGATATAGAAGACAGACAATAAATCGATATAATATACAAGGGGTCCTTAAATTGGCTGACTCTAAGGACCCGGTACTCCAAGGAGAGGTAACGGTGTGAGTGGACAGGTGCTGCAACCGCCATTAAAACGGTTGTCTCTTGTCTATAACGCTAATGACTGTCCCCAAGCTGTAGCGGCTTAAAGGACCTATCTTTTCCATTATTATGCATTAACATAATATTACATGTACATAATACTCGATTAAATATCGGTCAAGAATACATCTGTTTGTGGAGGGACACCAAAACAAGACGGGCTCATGGAGTGGAAAGCGAATCTAAACAAGAATCACAAAAGAATTCCTACCAGATGTAGGAAGCTTAAAAATGGTACAGAATTGATTAATTTAAATAGGATATTGCTATCTAATTTAAATGCTTTTTGATAAGCATAAAAATGGTACAGGATTGATTAATTTAAATAGGTTTTTGCTATCTGATATAAGTGCATTTTGATAACCACTCCGCGAGAGTCTTTTCATTATAGTTTACTTATATTTTCATAACTTACTATTTCATATAGTTCTAATATATGTCATTTTAATTTTTATATACTTCTTATAATTTATTTATTAGTAGATAGCATATTTTTTATTCTCATATCTTTTCACAGTAGATTTTTAATAATTTTATTTTTTCTCAGATACAGTTCTGTATTTTGGCTTTCTCTTAGACAGATGACTAACGTGGAACCCTCTATACTTAAAAGATAGTAATTCGACCGGCGAAACGGCCAACTAGACAGACTATTAATAAGCCAATCTAAAATTTCTATTGATAACAAATTTATGATCTACAAGACAATACTGAAATCTATTTGGATTTACGGACTAGAACTGTGGGGAACAGCACAATTTTCTAACATCAAACGCATCCAATCTTTCCAGCCCTAATTCCTTCGAACAAAAGTCGATGCTATTTTCTATGTAACTAACAAAACCCTACACCAAGATCTCAACATCCCATTTGTCCTAGATCTTATCCCAAAAAAAGTCTCCAAATTTCACCAGAACCTAACGTATCATCCAAATCAGTTTGCATTATCCCTATCAAGCAGCATCCATTCCTATAGTCCTCTAAGAAGGTTAAAACGGCATTGGCTCCGTGACCTTTTTGCAGTTTGTAGATATTGGAGATCAAATTCTCTCGCCATGGTCAGATTCTCCAATCAAGACATGAGTGTATGTGGCTAAAAGGCTCTAGATCAATCTCTGCTGGGTTTAGTACCAGTAATGCGATTGAGAGAGTAGCGCAGAGATCTCCTGAAATCCTGTTTTTTTCCTCAATAGTTGAAGGGACAAGCTTGCCTCGGTTTTTCCTAGCCTGATTGTCAATAGTGTATACGGTATTTATGTTCTTTTTTAATTCCTTATTGTTAAGATATTTTATTTTATTTATTGTATATACTTTTTGATTATTATTCATTTGTTATTTTATATGTGAGAATGTGATCTTACCTCACTATAACCAATGTCCAAGAAGCCTCTGATTATTTTTTTTTTTGTTTCCACAGATTGCAACCCCCAACCGAATTTCCAACGATTTTTTTTTAAATTTATACATAAATAAAAACAATAGATTTAATGTGTCAAAATTATCCTCGTTTTTTTTTCTTATTTGAATGAAAATTAAAGTCTAATAACACATTATCTGTGGCGCATCTTCCATAGTCCAAGTTAACTTTTTTTCATACATACATTACCTTATTCTACTAAAAATCTACGAGTAATAGGTTTCTTACAGCTTGCATGAATTTTCCTCATTCCTATTATTATTTTTCTTATTTGGTACGTCGAATCATATGTTGATAGTTAATTGTTTAATATGCAGATGCAGATCTATAACTATAATAGCAAAAGAAAAGAGAAAAGAAGATTCATAATCGAAATGGAAAGAAATAACTCGAGATAGATTGTTAGTATGACAGCTGACAAACGATGCGTGTTGAATAGGAAAACAAGAGTTATAATGGAAAAGGGTTTGATGGAAACAGCAAACGTTACAAGGAGTCTTTATCGTCAATTAAAAAGATTGACTCTTAAACCCTCATATTTTAACAAGAGCAGGAATGCTACAGGTTACTAACTTATTCTAGCAAGATTGTTCAAGATTCGTTGCCGTCAATCGTCGTAAAATTAATACTGGAAAAATAACGGCAATTTTGTATAACACTGAAATTATCATTATTTTAATGTAATAATAAGAATTTTTGGTGGTGGTATAGTTAACCTTACAACTAATGGAAGAAGTTGAACGAGTGGGCTATCTGCATTAAACTTACATCAATCGCCATTATGAAGGCATAAAACATAGACCGAAAGGTTGATGAGTGTTTTTCATCGCTGATCGTTGCAATCCCAACAACTACTTTTCGCACATGAAAAAATGTAATCGATATATCTTGAGATCATTTGGAAAAACAGGATAAGTCAAAACATATTGAAATTAACTTATCTAC